GAAAATGTACTTAATTGGGGCATATTGCGATATATATCATTATTGTGATATAAAATAGTCCATATCATGATATATGATTTTTTCCATATCGCCCAGCACTAGCTGTTTTTATCTGCTCTCTCGTTTCCAGTTTCTAAGTCATTTGGTACTTTCATTTTCCCGAGGGTCCTTGAACGCAGCACACGGAGTGATTCACAACCTGACCGCACGTAAACACTCCTGCGCTGCGCTCGCTGCTTACCCACGATGCAGCGCGGTTGCACACAACATAGCCATCTTGTCAAGGGAGAAGGAGGGAGCTGTCGGCGGTTACTTGTTTTATACGGAACGTTTTGGGGCTCCGTTTGTTTTTCAGCGGTAGAAAGCTTCGAAGCGAAGCTGTTTTCGACGGACGTCCTGACGCCCGTGGAGTAGCTGAGACGTGGGTGGGCTTTCCGCGGAGATGTCTCGCACACTTGTACCGACGTAGAGGGGGGAGTGTGCCGCTGCAGCCACTCGGCTCGAATTGTTAGCTAGCTCAGAGAGTGAAGGGCCTCCTTAGCTCAAAGTAGCTGCTACAGCTGGACAACACACGGCCGGCCGACAAGTGGACAGCCGAGGAAGAAGCAGTCCGGTCCGGACTGACTCTCTGTTTCCTAGCAGCCGTCATCCAGACAGCTTTTATCGGTGTCAGGACCCGCGCTGCTGGACGAGGGAGGCAAGAAGTGTGGCGTTCGGGCTTCATGAAACGCAACAGGAGACAGAGAGGAAGAGGATGGCGCAGATTCATCTTGATTACAGCTAAGTAGGAGGAAGAGGAAAACAGACCCAAGTGTGCTCTTAAATATGATCTAAGCTTTGTGGGACATTAGTCGGAAAGATTCCCTTTGACCGAGCAGAAAATAAACAAACCAAAACACAGCCGCACGGGATCAGACTGGCCAAACATGTCGAAGATGCCGGCCAAGAAGAAGAGCTGCTTTCAGATCACAAGCGTGACACAAGCCCACCAGGGTCCTGGGGGGCCCACGGACGACACCGAGAGTCTAGACGATCCGGACGAGTCGCGAACCGAAGAGCCGTCGGAGATCTACGAGGCATCTCGGGCTGAGTACGAGCCCGCGGGTGAGAGGAGGTCCTCGGTTGAAGCCCTGAATAACGCCGGGGAGGCGGAGGCGCATTTGAATGCACCTCAGGCCTCTCAGCAGTCCGGAGAGGAGTTGAGAAAAGTTGGATCCGTTCATGGAGGTCAGCAGCCCTCTGCTCCAGCCAACACAGGGAGCTGCACATCACGCTTCAGGGTCATTAAACTGGATCATGGTACTGGAGAGCCTTTTAGAAGAGGGAGGTGGACATGTACCGAGTTCTACGAGAAGGACTCGGAGACCTCTCACCATGCTCGGACTGACAGTTTGAGACACAGCAGTGTGACTCTGGATCCTGTTGGGGAGAGGGACAGTGGGCTTGGACCCTCTGTGGGGTCAACGGCCACACACTCTGGTCCTGGTTTAGGGTCTGCAGCAGAAGGATCCCACTCTTCAGTACTGCAGCAGCATTTCAGCGGCGTTCCGGCCACTCACAGTTCTTTCTCCAACGTAAAACCAGGAGCTGTCCCTCCTCAGTCGTCCATGGGGGGTCTCCAGCCTCATCCCGCTCAGAACGTGCTTCCTGTTGGACAGAACGACCTGCTCCACTCCGATTTCCTCCTGCAGAAGTCCCCGACGATGCCACCTTCTTACCCGCCGCAGCAGCCGGTTCCTGGGGTCCATCCCGCCGGCAGCCAGGCGGAGTTTTATCAGCAGCCTGCGTCCGTTCCCCCTGGACAGTCTCTTCCGGTGGTCGGACAGTTCCCCGCTCCGGTTCTGCCTTCAGCTTCTTCAGGGAGTCAGGTTGGAGACGTCAGACCAGCAGCTCCTCAGGCTCCCATGTTGGTGGGTGGATCAACCCCGCCGTCACAACAACAGAACACAGTTCAGTACCCCCCGGCCGGACAGCCTCACCCCACATCTGCTGCCGTGCTAAACGTGCCTGCAGTGAACGCGGGTTCAAGCGCGCCCACCAGCGCGCCCAGTGCCTCTACTGCGACCGTGCCAAATGCGACAGCCTCCAGTTTGCCTCCTGGTCTAATAGCAACCAGTAAGACTCCAGGCGCCTTAGGCCCAACAAGCGGAGTGCTGGAGGCAGGTGGAGGAAGGAAGTCAGAGGGAGGAGTCATTCCACAATCTCCAGTCATACCTGGGAGGAAAGCTGGGAAGCCCCTCATGCCGAAGGACCTGCAGCTCACCTCTCCTGTCACCTCTCCTCTCCTGTTTGAAATCCCCATACCTGTGGACGGGGATGAGGACAGGTAACACATTCCTGCTGTCTTATGTGAAGAGTTTAAAGGTCCTCATGCCTCTTAGGAACGCCAGGATTGCTATGTGTTTACACATGTTTTAGAAATGCAGTTTAAAAATAATCTGACATAAGAGTGGAAACATGCAGCGAACAGCATCAGGCTGTGATGACAGGAAGCCGAGAAGTCAAAAAGACACCACAGCCACTGGTTGCCCATTAATCTGGTCAGATAGACCTGGTTTACCTTTACTTCCGTATGGATGGGTGGAAGAGAGAGGCGGAGCAAAGGAAGGAAATGTTTGTTTCTTGTTTGATCAGGAGAAAAGAAAGCAAAGATGATGAACACCTGAGTCCAGAACATGCAACAAGTAGAAACGTAATTAAAACCAAAAGTGTCTGTGTGAGTTAGAGTTGATAACGTCAACATTTTCTCCAAGGAAAGATTTGATGACAGCCAACCTGGTTGATTTTTAACATCCGGTTTTCTTTGCATGCTACAGGTGTGTTGATGAAGGTAGTAATTTGGGATGCAGCAGGAAAATCAAGGAGTTGTGAAAAAGGATTATTTCCTTTAATCAGAATAGGTGGAGTGCAAATGTTATTGATGCAATTTTTTTTAAAGACTCTGCTGCTGCAGAAAAAATAGATGAACTAATCGTTCGGGTGACGATGGGAGGAAATGATGTAGAAAAGTCCTCCCCTTTTTCTTCAGCCCTATTTTGCCTTTGCCTCCTCCCATTTTCATGATATAAAATGACACAATAAGTTACAATTTAGAGGTACTTATAGTCGCGTTACACACCAGTAACTCCTTATAGTTGCATTTAACGTGTTTATGACAAATTAAGGCACCCAACCTGTGTTGTTTTTGGTAATTTTGTCTTTTTATGGTTGCTTTTGTTCCCTTTGTGAGGAAATATACCCTTTTTGTGTGTATTTACCATAATATTTCATCACTAGCCATTTATACAATTAGTCAACAAGCTAAAGCAAGGGAAGTGAGCGAAGGTGGAACTTCCTGTGGAGTTGGGAAGAAAAATAAATAAGTCATAGATCAAATGTAATACGCTGCATTAGATGTTTGATTTTAAGAAGGATAAAACTTATATTTTGATAGGTAACGAGTTAGACGCTGATGCTGGAGCTACATTCTTATGTCACTAAGGAGTCGATAAACGCCCGAGTACATGTCCTTGCTAACAGTGCTACTGGTGTTAGCAATAGTTTTAATCCCCATCCTCCCAGCTGTCAGTTTTTTTCGAGGCATTACAGCACGGTATGGGTTTTATTTACTAGACCCATCAATGGCCACCATCTGGTTTTCTGGTACTTAAGACATGCTGCCAATAGATGGCGCCACATCTGTTTATGTCAGCCCATTGCACCCGGTGCTGAAGTTCTATTAAGGCTTAAACAGGACCAGGACACTGTTGAACACTATCAGGACAGACGTTTGCAGTATAGATTATCTGTTCTTTTGGTACAGGCATATATTTACATTTGTGAAAGCAACACTGCACATTTTTGACCCAATTATTGGCTTAATTTGTAATATATGAAATGATTTTTCAGGTCAATATTCCACAATTGGTGCGTATGGATGATTTGTGCGGGCTGCTCGGCTCCAAAACTCCCCTGCATAACTTTAGAAGCTCGTCGCTGTCACTGGACGGGTCTTGTGACTCAGAGTGCCGCTTTACAGCAGTCAGAGCTTCCATTAAACACAGAAGCTAACTACGCTGAGTGTTGCTATGAGGCAACAAAACAGATATAAGCCTTATCTGATCAGATATATATTGGTTCATTGTAGGATTTCTTCTAGAGAGGTAAATGTTGCCTTATCTTTACCAATAACTCCATCACTTCTCAGTCTGTTCGTCCAAAGCGGTCTGATAGCAGATTCTAAAACACGGAGGAATGCTGTTTCATTTTGCCACAGTGCAGTGGTATTAGTTGCTTTCAGGGGAGATGAACCTGGAGGTTACAGGTCTAGCACCCCTTGTGGCCAAAAGTAACAGTGTTGCTTTAAGAAATTGAAAATCAACCATAAATGATGAATCTGAATGCATGCAAGTATAGGCCAGTGTTGAAATAAGAAAAAAAGAAAAGTTTTCACCCAAAATACCTGCTTGCTGATGTACCGGTGTTCTGTCAGACCAGCATACCCAAAGTCAATACCTGTGGTCCCGTTAGTTTTGTACAAAAAATATAGTTT